TTAATTCAAACCTGTAGGCTCGATGGTTGGAGGAAAAGGTCATACGGCAAGACCAAATCAAAGCAATTCAAGAGTCTATAGCCAGATTTTTTAATGACCAGGTCATCGATTCCAAGGGCGAGTTCTACTTCGACCCAACACTGCCATGAAAGCCAAGCTAGAGGATGAGAGGAAACTTGTTATATCACAACAACTGTAATGCAATATTTTATAATATATGTACATGAAATAATATAATGTAAAATATGCATGCATGCATGTAAATATATATACGATGCATGCATATATATATATATATATATATATATATATTTCTATGCTTGAATTGTGTGATTTAATACGTTTATTGTGCTTGAACCGAAACATACTATACGCGCGTATAAATGTATAATTAGCAGCGTACAATACGAATTCGAAAACCTATTTTGAAACAAAAAAAAATGAAAAGAAAAGAAAAAAAAAACTTTAGTCCCGGTTCGTATTACCAACCGGGACTAAAGGGTGCCGGCCATCGTGGCATGTCAGGAGGCACCTTTAGTCCCGGTTGGTGTTACCCACCGGGACTAAAGGTCCCCCTTTAGTTCCGGATGCTTGCTCCCGGGTGGGGAACCGGGATTAAATGGGGTTCCCCATCGGGAGTAAAGCTCTGTTCTCTATCAGTGATATAGTTGGGCCCATAAATATTTTAAATAAAAAACTATTAGCTAAAAAGTTTTAGATTTTGTCGAGCTCTACAATTTTTATATAAAATTTATGTTCATCCAAACTTCATTTGAAAATATTATGAATTTATTTTTAGAACCACAACGAAAACTGTCCCGTGTACCGGTGAGTGGACTGTATCATGGAAATCTCAACAACCCAATGGGACTCTACTGAGTGGAAAAGAGTACTCCAAAATCTAACCTAAAATAAATCCAAGCTACCACCTGCAAAATTAGAAATTCAAGGCCACTCCCCTAGCTAGCCTGTCGCTGTCATTGATGATGCATAAACTAATACCGGAGAAATTGGAAAATAAATGTCAAAAAAATCCTATCCAAAATAGGGTTGACTCTGTATTTGAGTCATACCACATGGTTTCACATCATCCACTGGACCAGTCCTGAAAACGAACTCATCTGAGATGACACATGAGAACTGTGTTCACATCTTAGTTAGTTACGTTGTAAAGTTACCTCGTTCCATATCTATCTCCCAATGAGATGGCTGTGTCAACCATAAGAAATGGTCGCTTATTGAGCTCGATCTGTCAGGTCGACGGAATCCGAAGCATGTGGTCGTTCATCAGCGACGCAGACGCAGATCAATATACAATATAACTTGCTCCTCCTTAATTTGTAGGAACTAGTATATATTATGGGATAGTTAACTGAGCTAAGTAATGGGTTTGACTTTGCACAAAAAGCCAAATTAACAAGTGATGGAGCCCATGACAATGTATGTGCGAACGCATGTGTCCCTAACATGCGTCAAACAAGCTATAGTGAGCTCATGACAATGTGGATGCAAGCCACTTATATTAGCCACCCCACATGCCATGCATGTCCTCATCTGTGTTACCTGGTGAGGTGCCATCAGTAACACCTGCGTGAAATGATTCCTTATGCACACTAACCGGTTGCAAATTGCAAGCCTTAATAATAGTCAACAATCAACTTGACCACTTGGGTATTAGACTGGGATATAAATACACAGACATATCCTGAAAGAATAAAACAATGACCAACTTGACTTTAACCTACCTAGTACTCGGACAAGTTGGTGTGCTAGGCTAGCTGTCAGCAACTCAAGACTGAGATTGACCATGCATTCCTCTAAAACTACTATTCTGGGGCTGGCCATAGAATAACTTATTCTGTGACCAGTTTGAGTTATGATAATTACCATACTTAATTTACAAGATTACAGTAACTCCTTACTAAGTGATTTACTATAACATTATCGTAAATATCACCATGAGTTGTAGTAACACGAGTATCGTAAATGCATATTCATGTTATCGTAAATTGGTATAAATATTATCGTAAATCAAAGTGGCTATAGAATAAGTTATTATATGGCCATATATATATATATATATCAACTATTAATAATGTTTCTTGTGTGACGTAACACACCTATATATCCATGTTGTTCGTTTTTTTATAATGTTCTTTTAACACATCTTGCATTATCTCTTTATTACTACCCCACTTATCTATATTTTAGGTGCTTGATTCTTTTTATTGTTCAAGGAATATGTAATTTTATTATTGATTGACTATAGAAAAAATTATGAATTGTCTCTTATAAGTTGTCCTTTTAATTGTACTATTTGGTGGTCCAAGATTGTTGACTGGAAATCTAGGCACTTAAAATATAGCAACTTCCTTGCTCCTCTGTTCCAGATTGCCTGCCAAATCTTTGGCTTGAAACAAACAGTAAGCAATGTATTTGTGGTGCACTTGCATTCTTGGAGGCAGACGGACTGGAAATTTACAACAAAATAGATTCTTGGAAAAGTAGCACAACAATCCGTTGTAGTCTAGCTGGTTAGGATACTCGGCTCTCACCCGAGAGACCCGGGTTCGAGTCCCGGCAACGGAATTTTTATTGCTTTTCTGATATCATTTTTTTCAACTAAAAAAGTGTCTAACTTACGAAACAATCCAAGTCATGACAGGCAATGCCATATTATTTTCCTTTTTTTAATCAGCAGAAAAGCTATTCCGTGTTATGATTCTTTTTTATCGGCAGAAACGCTATTCCATATTAGGTTTCTTTTCCGAACTTGAAATAGCTGTAACTTGTTCAAGCTACGAATTAATCTGCAATCGCCATATGCAATGTTTTTTGTTAGCAGAAAAGCTATTCTATATTGTGTTTCTTTATCGAACTTAATAGAAATTTACACTGCGAAACACAGCTGTGGCGTCCTCATACAAACCTTCATCTTGGCCGCATCCAATCCAAAGAGCATTTGACACAGCACATTATTCAGAGCTCCTCTGCAGCCAAGGCTTCCTCCAAGCAGCACAGATTTTTGTTTCTACACTGCCTACTGGGATCTATAGCGGATAATCATCCACGGACGAACTTTGATGTCCTACCGTCTCTCGACATGATAACAAGACGTTCCCCCATTTTTCCTAGTAAGAGTGAAAATACATTAACTATTAAGAAAGAATTACATCATTCGGAACAATAGCTTTTTGGGGGGCAGGTAAGTAGGGTGATGGGGAGGTGTTCCAAAATTTGTGGCAATTGTATATTTGATATGGGTATTGAAAAGGGCAACATATCAAAGGCAATAATAGTTACGGTTTAATGTTAAACCACAGAACAAAATGGTGATGTGATTAATCGAATAACACATTTTCTCTTCCATTAGTATGCCGTAAGTTTCTAGAACAATAACACTTTATTATTAGAAAAAATCAGAACTTAAACTACTTAGACAATAGTAAATTAAAAGAACATCTCTAATTCCTTTCACAAAAATCATAAATGATTTAATACTCAAACCAGAAGTGATAGAATAATTGAACACCTCCTCCCCAACCAGAAAAAGAGGAGTTCCAAAAAGAATGTAAACCTCGCTTTTCGAGTAGTCAATCAATCTCAAGTTTAACCAAATATATATACAAAAATGTACTAATATTTATTATTATGCATATTAATAATCATTAGATTAATTGTGTAATATATCTTCATAATAAACCTATTTGGAGACATAAATGTTGATACTATTTTCTATAAAACTAGTCAACTTGAGTTTGATTGACTCCTCAAAAAGTGAGATTTACATTCTTTTAGGAATGGAGGGAGTAATAACTGGACTGCCAAAGAAACTATGGTTTTCAGAGTTGAAACCCAATGGTAGACAATGGCGGCAGAAACATGCCACCTGATCAAACAAAAGACAAGCACAAACAAATCGTAGAAACAATCAAACAAAACAACGTAACAAACAATGACTGCAATCTTGCATATTTGTTTATCAGCAACATTTATCTCGACTCCAGGATATTTTCTGGTCAGCAAGTTACCAATCTCAATTTCTATCATCACATAGTGATGCAAACTTCAACACCAGTCATCTCATCTTGTGCTTGGGAAAGAAGAAAATTTCACCAAGTGCACAGACTAAAATGACACCAGGAGGAGCACATCATTATATGATTTGGCTAACTTTCATCATTCCAGTTTGAAAATAAACTTAAAAAAAAAGAAAATTGAACAGGGTAACATAAAAAAATATGACACATTCTTCTTTCACAAGAAAAAAAGGGCATCATTCTTGATGGCAAAAGATAAATAAGGGCACTCAATAACATTACAAGGATAATATTTGAACAGGAAAAAGGAACTAATTTTCTACAGTAACTCTATGCCTGAGATAAAAGAATTCGAAATATCAGGACAAACCAATTCTTCTTATCTTAATAACAAGTTAAATTAAATGCAGGAGCATTGAGGGCTCACAATTATTGGAAGATAGTATATCTTCAGATTGAGGCCTAGCTAACTACACAGTTTTTTTTCTCCAACACATAGGTGTATCATTATATTAAGAGAAGCTAACTAAACAGTTACCTGTCTTGAAGTTCCATTTAAATTTTTGAATCAGCATGCTGAACCAGGGATTTTTTGACATATCTGGAGAACAATCCTCCAGTTGGCAAATATGAAGGTACCAAGTAGCATTGGAGCAAAACACTGAGAGATTGATATTATTTAACTAGTTGCCCAGCTGATATTAAGAGATCCATACCTTCTGTCCATTACCACCATTGGAAGAAGTGCCTGACAGTGTCCTCACCAAATCCTTGAGCACTATCTCAATACTGAATCACAATAATGTCAAAGCTTCTTATTCTCAACCAGTCAAACAGTACAAACTATACAAGCCAAATCAATTTGGCTGACGGTGTAGTAGGTCCTGTGCTACCCCAAGCATCATATCATAAAATTCATAATGCCAATAGTGTCAAAATAGCATCCAGTGAAGCTGAACTTTACAAGGATCTAGAAGCATGCTGGGACTTGGCAATCTCTCTCAAAACTGCACCTACAACAACAGCCTGTTCAAGACATTCAGCTTTGTTCAAAGCATCTAGAAGACTGATGCATGCCTTTACATTAATTCTACATCCTTGTAATCGAGTTTCTTCAAATACATGATATGCCTCAATTGCTCTATTTGCATGGCTCATTCCCTCTATAAGAGCATTGAAACTTGCAGCATCAGGGATTCCACCATTGGCCTTAAACCTCTCAAAGAGACTGCAAGCATCTGTTATGTTTCCTACCTTTGCAAGCCCAGAAATCATGGTTGGGTAAGTCACAACATTAGGGACTAATCCCTGTTTCTGCATTTCTTGCCAGAACACAAAAGCCTTATTGTACTTCTGTACGCAGCAAAGGCCATTTATAAGAATACTGTATGCGTAAGTGTTTGGGGAACATTTCATTTCCTTCATTGACTGGAAACAAATAAGTGCTTCATTGATTTCTTCAGCTTTCACTAAAGCATCCATAAGGCTGTTCCATGTGTAAACATTAAAGGTTTTTTTAGGCGCTAGGCGTTTTCAAGGCGGTGACCCCTCACCTAGCGCCTAGGCGTGCCTAGGCGCGCCTAGGCGTTTTCTAGGCGTTTTTCCCTTTTTGTATTTCAGCATATATATAGCTGAATAAATTATATAAATAATTAAATATAGTAGCAGAGTGAATTGTATAAAAGGAGATAAGGTCCAATAGACATACCTTAGTTGATACAAAAGTGACATTCATGCTTAGTTCATACATTGATACATAGTTGATAGTTCATACAATACAAATGTGATGTTCCTACAGCAATACAATGGACCATATCAGTAGTTAAATACAAATGGACAGCAGACCATATGAACAATACAAGTTAAAAGATACAGGTTAGATACTTATCTGAATGATCTTAGCCTTCTCCTATCCATCAGACATTATCAGCACTCAGCAGCAAAGGAAAGCCATTTCAGAACACAAACATTTAGGGATAACAGTAGCAGCAAAGAAAATTAAATGCATAGCAGACCAGTAGGACAATACAACACATACTCCCATCCCACATCATCTGAATTCCTTTTCAGGACATTCACTTCCTCCGGAGCAACTTCTTGCTCCGACATTCTACATGAAGAGAATGCAGAGGCATATGAAACTATAATTCTACAAACATGCAAAGGCATATAACAACAATTCAAGAAATTAAGCTGCAATCTACAAACATGCAGATAGTAGGTACACAACAGACATCAATCATTCAGATTTCAGGCATATTAGATAGCAGATGTTAGTACATCACAGATGCAGATAATAGATGCTAGATACAGAGCAAGAACAGCAGGCATTCAGGCATATTATATAGCATCAACCAGATCTCCAAAGGTAGTAGGTAAACAGCAGCAGCACACAGGCACACCGCACACAGAAGAACAGCACAGGCGTACAGAGCAGGAAGATGGAAGGGAGCAGTCGAGCAGAGGAGAGAGGAGCAAGGGGTGGGCAGACCTCACCTTGGGCTTGTGGAAGGCGGCGACGAGGACCTCTGGACTCAGTGACTCCCTCCCCTGGTGGGCTCGAGGAGGAGCTCTGGACTCGCCTCCACCCTTCCCTGCAACGAGCCTCGGCGGGACACCGGACTCGCCGGTGCTACGGGTGGCGGCCGGCAGGAGAGATGAAGACCGGCGGCGGACAGCAGTGAGGATCTCCTTCTCCTATTTCTCTCTCTCTCTCTCTATGTCTCTGTCTCTCTCTAATCCTTTCTATAGGCACCGGCGCTCTGCTCTTTTCCTTCCCGCGCAGCCGCTTTCTTTCCCGCGCTGTCGCCCGCTCTCGCGCGTGCGCGCTCCCGCCCGCGAAAACAGAGTCCCGCGCCCGCGCGCTCCCGCCCAGCCGCCGCCTCGTCCGCCTACTCGCCACCCAGGCGCCGCGGAGGCGTCGCGGAACGCCGCGGAGGCGCGCGGACAGCCTAGATGTACGCCTACCCCCGTAGGCGCCGCGGTAGGCCTCCGCCCAGCGCCTAGGCGACCGTGGAATCTCGCCTTGCCGAACATTGTAAACATTTGGTGTCAAACCCTTCTTCATCATCTCTTCTAATATTAAATAAGCTTCATCTATCCTACCAACCTTTCCAAACCCATCGATGAGAGAGCTATACACAATAACATTCAATTCTATTCCTTTTGATTTTGCTTCCTCAAAAAGCATGTAAGCTTCATCTAACCTATCAATCTTAGCTAAACCATCAATAATTGATCCATATGTAGCAACTGTAGGAGCTACACGTTTTACCTTCATCTCCGCAAGAACTTCATAGGCCTTGTCCACCTTTCCAGATTTGCAGAACCCATCAACAACAGCATTATAAGCCCGAGCATCAAGAGCAAAACCTTGCTGCTTCATGGCATGGAAAATGCTGGAAGTTTCCCTAGCCAGGCCAGCTTTTGTGAGACCATGAATCAAAATGGAATAACTTGTACATCCGGAAGGAAGCCATAACCCTTGATATCCTCAAATATCGCCCTTCCCTTTTCAACATCACCAGCTTTGAAAACACAATCCATGTATGTATTCAGTAGGGTAAGGTCAGGCTGGCATCCTCGACGATTCATCTCTTTGAAGATTTTGTGCCCATCTTCTTTCCTCCCATGCATGAAGAAATTCCTTATCAAGGATGTATAAACAACAGGATTAGCATTGTGGCCTGTATCTAGCATGTTCTCAAATAACCTATAAGCGTCGTCAACATTTCCTTTCTTTCCTAATCCGTCAATAAGAGAACAATAAGTCACAGAATCAGGATTGCAACCTCTCTGACTTGCAGTTTCAAACATCTCATAGCATATCAACCATTATATTCACTGTCAACAAGTTAGGGAACAAACCAGCGCGTTCCATCTCATCCCGTATCATATAGGCCTCCTCAACTGTTCCAGCCATGCAAAGCATATCAATGATGATGTTATATGTCGAGGAATTTGGCTCTGCATCCTTTTTCATGGCCTCAAACAAGGTCAGTGCCTCATCAACTTTCCTCTTCTTCCCAAGGCAAGTGAGAATCGAATTAAATGACACAACAGATGGAATACAACCCCTCTCCTTTAACTGATCAAGAAGCTTATAGGCATTCTCAAACTGGCCTGCAGACCCATAACCCATGATCATTGTATTATACGCATACGCACAAGGCACAGCTCTTTCTGTCTCCATCTGACCAAACAGTTCCTCAGCCTCACTTAGCCTCCCAGCCTTGCACAACACCCAAATCATGCTCGTGTACGATACATCATCTGGCTTCAGCCCTTGCGACTTCAACTCATGGAAGAACTTCCAGGCCATGTCCACACTCCCAGCCTTCCCGAAACAATCAATGCACACATTGTACAGCACAATGTCAGGCTCGAGGCAGCTCCCCTTCACCTCGTCCACCAGTGCCAGGGCCCCCTCGACGCGCCCCTCACGAGCCAAAGCCCGCACCAGCGTCGTGAACAGCGGCACGCCCACCTCGTACCCGACCTCCTGCATCTGCCGCAGCAGCTCGAGCGCTCGTTCAGGCCGCCTGGCCTCCGCCATTGCGCCGATCAGCACGGTGTACGCCGAGAACGCTGGGCGGAACTTGAGCCGCCTCATGGCCCCAATCACGCGCTCGGCGTCGTCGAGGCGGCGGGTGCGGACGAGCGCCGCGACAAGGTCGGCGCAGGCGGGGTTGGGAACGCCGTACCCAAGGACGCTCATCTCCTCGATGACTTTCTCCATGGCTGCGAGGTCGTGGGAGAGGAACGGGAGGACGGCGTTGTAGGCGTCGGCGGGGAGCAGGTGCGGGGAGGCGGCGAAGGAGGCGAGGAAGAAGGGAGCGGCGAGGGAGGGGTTCTTGAGGGACCGGAGAACGGGTATGACGGCGTCGGCGGCGGAGGCGGAGGCAGCGGAGAGGGAGGAGGAGACGGCGCCGGCGAGGTCCGGCGTCCAGGATGGTGCGGCGGAGAGGAGGCGGAGGAGCTCGGTGGCGAGAGTGTTGGGGTGGTGCGGTGGTGGTGGTGGGGGTGGTGTGGTGGAGGAGAGCTAACGCCAGATGCGGAGGAGGGTGGGGGCGACGAGGAGCGGCCGGCGAACCGCCGGTGTCCGCACCGCCGCCGCCATGGAGAGGGGTTCGTAAGCCCTAGCTGGGATACAAGGCGGGCTTGGCCATTTGGGCCTTGGGGCTGGGGAGGAAATGGCCGGTTTGTTCAGAAGATGGACTTTTGTTTCTTTCTTTCCCGTTGAGCCGTTGATCAGATAGGACTTATATATTGTTATTTTACATTTAATTTTTTTACTAAAGATTTCATTTTAAGAAAACAAGCGTTACGATGTACTCCCTCCGTTCAAAATTATAAGTCTTTTTAACTTCTTTTATACATATTTTTTGCCATGTACTTAGATATATGTTATATCTAGATACACTAGAAAACAAGGCGCGGCTTTGACGCGCCCTCCTTTTAGTGTTGTGCCAAGTATAAATAAACTCGCTTGGGGCGCTGGTGGTTTAAGACTGCCCCCGCAGCATTTTAAATAAGAAGAAGGACCTTCTCATCCGGTCGAGAAAACCCCCGAACCCCCGCCCCACCCTGACACGGTGGCTTTCCGTCGCCCAAGTGCGAATTGGGCCGGTGTCCCCCCCCCGTGCTTTTTTTATGGGAACGGACGAGGGGATTTTTTTAACCTCAGCCTGGAATTCGCTCCCACGGAGAGTCAAACTCAGGACCTGAGGAGTGCCGCTGGGTCACTAACCGTTTGAGCTAGGTGGCCTTTGGCGTGTCGTGCCAGTATAACCCGCAATTATTGTCAATGTGGTTAGAAAAAGGGAACATCTCTTATATGCATTCAAGTTGTTTAGACAATTCACATTATAAGAAGGTAATAAATAAATAACGATTGGGTAAACCATGCTTGAATTTATGTATGGCTAGATTATGTACAAGCTTGTGTACACTGTCAGCTATCAAGTTTGTGTACAAGCTTGGGTACGCTGTCAGCTATCACATGTGAACGCTCCACGTAAACTTTCTTTCAAGAAATATAGTGAACTCATTTTTCACTTCTCAAAAGCTGGTTTCTAGAGCATACAATTTGATGTCATTCAAGACGTGACAAAGGCAATGTACATTTACCACGTGATCCAAATCAAGGCTTAATTGATGTTAATATGTCAAGACACCACCACCTGCAAGGCCTCCAAATTCTAAGTGACAGCTTCAATCTAAAACATCAGGATGTTCTACGAGTTACATTATAGTGGGCACACCCATCATTCGCAGAGCAACAAGTATATTTTAACGAAAAATAATTACAAGTAGTGCATTTCTCTAACTGTAAAATATAAACATTTGCCTAGTGGCATCGAAAAGGCAAACATTATTCCGTCAGATTACAGGTTGGGTTGTTATCTTGTGCATCTTAATCAAGTAGCCTTTAGAAGCTAAGGGCGTGTTTGGTTGCCCGCATAAGGGCAAACCAGGCTCCCGGGATACAGCCTGCTCATGTTTGGTTCCCTGGCCACCCTCCCGAGCTAGGCTCCGCTCGTGCAAAAGCCCCTCCTGGTCTGGCTCGCGAGGAACGCCCAAATCGGCCGTTTTTCTTCAGCCTGGCTCACTCCATGCTCCCGCGAGCTCGCGCGCCTGGCGATTCCGTGCGCGGGGAGATGGCGCGAAGATCCTAGGGTTACCTCCTCCGTTCCCACCATTCACCGCCTCTATATCTTCCCTCCCCCCGCCTCCCTCTCTTCTTCTTCTTGTCGATCCCCGTCTGCGCCGCCGGTAAGCTCCACCTCCTCTTCCTCCTCCCCCGGTGTTCTTGATGGATTCGTGGCCTCCTAATGCCTACCCTCTCTCTCGATTTGTTGCAGGTGCCGTGGATTTGCGTCCTCTCGAAGCAAGTGAACTTTTCCCCTTCTCTTTCTCTATTTTTTCTGTGCGATTTGAAACCCTAGGTCACCATTGTTTGTTGATCTCGCTGCAGGCACACCAGATCTGATTTCTTGGCTGTTATTGCGGTATGAATCCTTGTTCTTAGGTCTCATTTTTTTTTCTTGTTTTTTTTCAAATAAAAATCCTATTTTGTGTATGTTAATCCTCTTTTCTTTGCTTGTGTGCTTGCAGATCTGAGCTCCCTCACCTGCTGGGTTGGGCTTTTGCTGGTGCTGCTGCTTGTTGACGTGGGTATTTTGTATATCTACTCCCTCTCTCGCCTCACCCCCTAATCTGTACCGTGCGATAGTGAGTCCTGCGTTCTTGGATTCGGATGCATGTCCTACTTTGTGAGATTATGAGCAAGTATATGAAGTTGCCATTTTGTCTGAGCTATTGTCCAAGTCTGTGATGATTCCTTTTGTCCTGAGCTATTGTCTTAGTTTATGATGATGCCTTTTTTTGAGCTATCGCCCTATTCTGTGATGATGAAAGTCTTATTTTTAGCATGTTCTAGTATATGATGAATCCTTTTTCTGAGCTTTTATCCAAGTCCATGATGATGACATTGTCATTCTGAGCATTTGTCCTTAAATTCCATTCATTTTTTCTAGATGGGCTTAGAAGAGAAGAGACGCATTCTTTTTGCTCGTGCTGCTGCTCTTATCACTGCTATGTATGCCCTGCTGTTTGCTAGACTTAGAATGCTTCAGAGTCAGCGGCCTCAAATCAGTTATGGTCCAATGAGCATTAGGGATGAGGAGCGCCAAAGGAACTTGAACTTAATTTACAACTACAATGATATAGAGTGTGTGAACATGCTTAGAATGAGAAGGGCACCCTTTTTTAGTTTGTGCAACTTGCTTAGGGACAAGAAGCTACTTGTTGACAACATAAATTCTTGTGTTGAAGAACAAGTTGCAATGTTTCTCCATATTGTTGGTCATAACCAACGATTTAGAGTTGTAAAGCAAAACTGGAGAAGGTCTATAGAGACAGTCCACTGCCACTTTAAAGATGTGTTGTATGCTATTGGTGAACTTAGACAAGAGATGATTAGACCTCCAAGCAATGAGACACCAGTAAAGATTAGCAACAGCCATAGATGGTATCCTTACTTTAAGGTAAAAAACCTGTCATATAGCTGCTAGGATATTGTTGCATTAGCTCATGTCAATTTACTATGCAATTTTGGATGCCATGTAGGACTGTATTAGGGCCATTGATGGGACTCATGTATTTGCCAAAGTTCCAGCCAAGATGCAAGCTGCATTTAGGGGTAGAAAGAATGCCCCCACACAAAATGTGCTAGCAGCGATCGACTTTGACTTGAAATTTACCTATGTCTTTGGTGGTTGGGAGGGATCGACTCATGATGCCACAATTCTTGCCGATGCATTCTGAGAGAGAGGATGGGTTGAGGGTTCCACCAGGTAATTAAATCAAGCTGTGATAACAAGAAGCAAATGTAACTGCAAAATGATGAATCTAATTGAACTCCACATTTGTTTTAGGCAAATTCTTCTTAGTAGATGCTGGATATGCTTGTCGGCCTGGATGTCTTCCTCCTTATCGAGGTTGTAGGTACCATCTTAAAGAATATGAGAATAGGAACTACCCAACCAACCCAAAAGAGTTGTATAATTTGAGGCATTCTAGTTTGAGAGTAACTGTAGAAAGGGCATTTGGGGCTCTGAAGAACCATTTTCGCATCATTGACACCAACAAACCATTCCATCGCTTGAGGACACAAATCAAGCTTGTGCTTGCATGTTGTATAATGCATAACTGGATCCTTAGTTTTGGGGTTGATGAGGTTATTCCAGAAGAGTTCTCTTGGATACCAAATGACACAAACAGTCAGCCCCATCCTGCTCATATGGATGACAATGCTGCCAAGGCACTTCAGAGGGATGAATGGGCTAATCACATGTGGGCTAATAGGGGTCTTTCTAGAATCTAGAGTTCTATTATGTATCATTAAGTTGCCTGTAATTTATTTTATTCATGGACAAATGCTGTTTTTTCTTTGATACTACACTTGATCTGAGACTTTGGGCAATAGCAATGATGTTTTTTCTGTGATACTACACTTGATCTGAGACTTTGGGCAATAGCAATGATGTTTTTTCTATGATACTACACTTGATCTGAGACTTTGGGCAATAGCAATAATGTTTTTTTCTATGATACTACACTAGATCTGAGACTTTGGGCAATAGCAATGATGATAAATTTTCTGTGATACTACACTTGATCTAAGACTTTGGGCAATAGCAATGATGTTTTTTTTCTGTGATACTACGCTTATGCTGAGGCTTTGGGCATGTGCAATGATGATAAATTTTCTGTGATACTACACCTATGCTGAGGCTTTGGGCATGTGCAATGATGATAAATTTTCTGTGATACTACACTTATGCTGAGGCTTTGGGCATGTGCAATGATGTTTTTTTCTTGACGTAATACACCTGTGCTGAGGCTCTGGGCATGTGCAATGATGAATTAGGCTATGGCTGAGGAGATGATGCCTGCTGATGAGCTTGTGTTCCCTGGACTAGATGGTGGTCTTTTGGCTGGTGACAATGTGGTTGCTCAGCAGAGGACCTCTCTGAGGTGGACTGAGCCCATGTCTGCCTTTGTGCTGAAGCAGATGTGCCAGCTCATTACCACTGGAGTGAGGACTGATAAGGGCTTCAAAGAAGTGCACCTGAACAAGGTGGCAAAGGCCCTGCAAGAGTTCTGTGGTCATGAAGTTAGTGGTACCCAGGTGTACAACCACCTGAGGAAGTGGAGGCAGAGGTGGGTGAAACT